ACATAAAAAAGAAGAAGGGGAGATAAGGACGATAGATGTTTCATAGGAAAGAAGAAGCAAACCACACCAGAGAACCCGCCAACCACCCACTTACTACAGGTAGAAAGGAGGGACCGTAAGATGAACAGACAAAAAATTAATCAAACAAATGATGCTTTTTTTGTGTGGTTTTTGTTGGGTTTCCATACACAAAATAACCAATGGCGTTTTGTCCTACCATACGTGGCGGGGAGCGGAACCAAAGGAAAGACAAGCAAAAAAAAAACAAAAACGCTCAAACAAATAAAAACATGTCTTGTGTCATGTGTCACGGCGTGGTGGAATCAGGCGCTCGTCAATTTTTGGGTATGCGGAATTTTTGGTATCATCTTCAAGCTTGTTCTTTTTTCTTTCTTTCGTAGAAAAAAATACCCATCTATCTTGAACAGAATTTGAACTATTTGCCACTGTAGAAGGTGGGAGTTGCCTTGTTTGAGAGGTAAAGTTAGTGAGAAAATGGCTACCAAAGTTGGGAGACTTTCATAGCTTGAGAGTTCTTGGAAACATAAAGTATACATATTTAATTTTGTGACTTTAATCAACGTTTTTCAGAAAAATCCACACAGAAATGTGTTTTTAAATGAATATACAAGGTGTTAAGCCCCCAATCCCCCCTCCAAAATGGATATAAATGGCCAAACGGTTACAAAAAATGCCGTTTTCTTCAATTTCATGATTTTCACGAGCGTCTGATACCATCATGATGACTCACTTAGTTTTATCTAAAAATTAAATTAAAATTTTTTTTTTAATTTAAGAAGACAAACAACGATATTTCAGCTTACCATAGGTGGTGGGAGGCGGTAGCCCTTCTCCACAGCCTTGATGACGTCCTGATTGGACCAGTTGTAGTAGGGCCGCTCCCCGTATGACACAATCTCCCACATGACCACGCCGTAGCTCCACACGTCCGACGCAGACGTGAACTTGCGGAAGGCGATGGCCTCCGGGGCGGTCCACCTGACGGGGATTTTCCCGCCCGTTGTGGTGTAGGCACCCTCTGTTGTGTCGGACTCCACCTCCCGCGACAGGCCGAAGTCGGCCACTTTGCATACCAGCGTCTCGTTGACTAAAATATTCCTTGCTGCAAGATCCTGGGAGATATAAGAGGGAGAATGTTATACTTTTGTTGTTGTTGTTGTTGTTGTTGTTGTTGTTTGAAAAGTTTCTTGCTGCAAGATCGTGGGAGATTATAGAGGGAGATTGTTAATGTTGTAGTTGTTGTTGTCGTTGCTGTTGTTATTGTTGTTTGAAATGCTTTTTGCTATGAGATCCTGGGAGATTCAAGACGGAGATTGTTAATGTCTTTGTTGTTGTTGTTGTTGTTGTTTGAAAAGTTTCTTGCTGCAAGATCGTGGGAGATTATAGAGGGAGACTGTTATGTTGTTGTTGTTGTTGTTGGATTTGACCTACTCGCTTGTCTTCAGATTTGCTAGTAAGAGCTAGATGTTCAAGGCCCTTATGTCTGAGTTCAAGTGTCCCAGAAACACTTGAGCAAATGTTTTTCTAAAATGCTTGTTTGTTTGTATTAGTGAGTTAATAGAGGCACATCAACATAATAATGGTCATTTAGGGCTGGGGCAAAGTAATACAGACAGACAGACAGACAGACAGACAGACAAACAGACAGACAGACAGACAGACAGACAGACAGACAGACAGACAGAGAACAGAGGGAATGTAAAGAAGGACATACCAGTGGCGCCCTCCCCTACTCCCCGGCCCCTTTCCAAACACTTCCCTCCCCCCAAACAGAATTGAGACATAATAATAAAATAAGTTAATAAATTTGCAAAGTTGCCAGCCCCACACAAGAGAAGCAGAAAGGGGAGACAGTGTGTGCAACTCACTCTATGTACAAATCCCATCTCGGAGAGATACTTCATGCCTGAGGCCACGCCCCTCATCATTCCCACCAGTTGGATGATGGTGAACTTGCCGTCGTTATTCTGGGGAGGCAGGCAACACAAACGTATTAAAATATATACATTTGTTAATTTGTATAACATTTATACATTTTTATTTTATACATTCATATGTTGAAACGTGCGTGTGTTGGATGATGGGGAACTTGCCGTCGTTGTTCTGGGGAGGGGGACAACACAAACGTATGAAAATATATACATTTGTTCTTTTATATAATATTTATACATTTTTATACATTCATATATCGATACATCTGTGTGTTGGATGATGGTGAACTTGGCGTTGTTGTTCTTGGGGTGTGGACAACACAAA